GTCAATCCAATGGCTTAGTCTTAAACATTTCTACCACTACAGAAAAAAATGGCGACTTCACTGGGGAAAAATTGACCTCTTGTTGGTCCATCCCTAATTGGGTTGAGCCTATCTTTGTTTATATCTGTATATGTGCTATTGTTGTTTATGTGTTATATGTTGTATATATGTTTATCTGGATTTTCCTGGTTTTCAGGGTGCTTTGTGATTACTTATAAGTCATATACCCGGACTTGGACAAAATTTAAGATTGGACTGGCGGTATAGTCATGTTAACTTTGAGAGAGTAATCCCAAAAAAGGAGGCATGAGATCCCCCACTCAGTGGAGGCCCCTTTGACTGTAGTGTCGTTTACCGAGTAATCGGGAAGACGTGCTGCTTTCGACCTGGGAGCCTGCTGAAGCTGAGGACCGTAGAATACCTAACCCATCTTGGCCTTTTAGGTGTAGTGCGGAAGCTATGACGGAGTAATCCGGAAATAGTTGTCACGCGATACTATGCTCAGACGAGTTTTTCTTGAGAATATTACTAATTACCGAGTTAATCGGGAAGTTGGTAATATCCGAAGGAAGGATGTAGACTCTGGGAACCTGTATAACCTTGTTCGGAAGGTGATAACTTATAGACCATACCTTATGGATAGTACCTTCGACCTCATGCTCGTGATGTTGAACCTATGAACCCTATATTTGCGATCTTGTGTGTGATTGTTGCATCATGCATCCATGCACTCATAAGCATCTTTTGAAGATATTTTATTTCAAAGGACTTGGAAGTTGACCATTTGTGAATATCTCAGGTACCTTTTGACCATGGGTTCTGGAAAAAGAAATACCGGAAAATACAGTTTTAAAGATCCCAAGATAGATGAGTTGATCAGTCTAATTCCCGAGATTGAGTGTTTTGCAGACTTTCAGAAGAAGTATGTATCCATCATTCCTCTTATGAAGCTTAGAATGAAGGAGGGTATTCTCTCGGCCTTGGTCCAGTTTTATGATCCGATGTATCATTTCTTTACTTTTCCCGACTATCAGTTGATGCCTACACTAAAGGATTATTCTTATTTGTTAGATTTATCTGTTACCAATCGTATTCCTTTTACTGGTTTGGAGGGCGAGCCAAAACCACATGAGATTGCTGCTTTGATCCATCTGGGAAAGTCTGAGGTGGAAGCCCATATGACTACTAAAGGAGGGATTAGAGGATTACCAGCCCAGTTCTTATTAGAGAAAGCTAGTTACTTTTCCAGGATGAAGAGTACAGTCGCTTTTGAGGCCATCTTTGCTCTACTTGCTTACGGGTTGTTTTTATTTCCTAATGTGGATAAGTTTTTTGACGTTAATGCTATCAGGATCTTCATGATTGGAAACCCAGTTTCTACATTGTTGGGTGATGCTTATTACACTTCATCTTTGGAATTCTTATCATGGGGGGATGATTATCTGTTGCACCTCTTTGTTGTACCGGTGGTTCATCTCTCATATGCCTCAGTCTGATGCTTTTTGGAATGTCAGGAAGAAACCCCGATGGGCTCCTAAGATCATGGCACTTACTCACTCAGATATAGATTGGTATCATCGAGCTTACCAGGATGTAGAGATTGTTGACAGCTATGGTAGTTTCCCCAACGTACCTCTTCTTGGTACAAAGGGAGGAATTAACTATAACTCTATTCTTGCACGACGATAGCTTGGTTATCCAATGAGGGATAAACCAAATAGTATTCATTTGAGTAGTTTCTTTCTGAAGGAGAGAGAAGACCATAAGGAAGCTAGGGAGTAGATTGCGAAGGCCTGGCGTCACATCCATAAGAAGAGTAGGAAAGAATTAGGACCTAGGGGTCCTGTTTCTTTAGAGCCATATCTTCAGTGGATCCAAGCGAGATCTATTCAGTTGAAGATGTCGTATTCCTGGGAAACACCTATTCCTAATTTGTTTGTGAAGACCACTCTTCCCTTATTGAATGATATAGAAGAGCTACAGCTTGCTTTGGTCAGGATGCAGCAGGAAAATGATGCTTGGAAGAATAAGTGTCAAACTTTAGAGATTTCCTATAGAGCAGACTTGAAGGAGAGGGACGACTTGATTGAGATTCTTGAGAGTCGGGCTATAAAGATGATGGAGAGGCGAGGGGGTTTATTTTCTCCTAAGCCTCTGTCAGATTCTAGTTGCTCACTTCCTGATTCAGGTGATTGGAAGGAGGTTGCCACCAAATATGCAGAAGAAAACTAGAGGTTGAAGGCTCAGGTTGCCAGGCTTACAGGGAAGCGCCAGCGTATAGAGTGATCTCCATCAGCTTTGCTTCTTAGGGTTTTAGACTTTATTTTCATCTTGTACTTGGGATTATTGAAACTTGTAATCCATTTTGAAGTTATTATAATAAAAAATTTCAGTATTTCAAATATGTTATTACTTTGATATTTGCAATGTGTCTATAAATCTTTAAGTCCCTTGAAATATTAAAAATAAATCACGTGCACCACATATCATGCATCATATTACACATATTTCTTGTATTTATTATGCATATCCAGGTGTCTTACCAAGCTTCTTTACTTCGTTTAGCAAGCTGACTCACCACTACAATACTCGGGCTAATTTCAGAAAAAAGATGGACAACTTAGAACAAGAGAATCGCAAGCTGCGCGAACAGGTTTCTGCTTTGAAGGTCGACATGGTCAATCTTACTGCTCTGATGGAATCTATGATGACTTTATTTTTACTCTTTTTAAAAATAATTTTTATCTGTTACATATCTTTGTTGAAAAATTATTTATAATTTTTTTAAATAAAAATTTATTTGAATAGTTATTTTAAAAATATTATTTTATAGTTTTACTATAATTTTTTATATTAAAATCTTAAAAAAAATCACTTAAATTTAAAACTATTTTAAATATTTTTTGATAAAATTTATTTTTAAAATATGATTTAAAAAAATTGTAATTTTGGCTATAGTTTGAACTTCAATTATTTATTAGTTTAATTATAATTTTGATTCTCTTATTTTTTTAATTCACGAAATTGGTCCTTCTATTTTAAATTTAAACAGTTTTGATCCTTTATTTTAAATTTAAAAGTTTTGATCTCCCTTTCATACTTTACACTTAAATTTAACAATATTTTTACTTTTTAAATGATAAATTATTTATAAAACATGACAAATTATCATATATAAATTTATTATTGAACTTTGTAGATAAAAATATAAGTTAAAAAAAATCTCATTAATTTTTTATGAAAAACGTGAAAGAGACTAAAAGTGTTTAAATTTAAAATAAGAGATCAAAAATGTTTGAATTTAAAATAGAGAGATTAATTTCATAAATCAGACAAAATAAAGAGACTAAAACTGTAATTTAACCTAATTTATGTTTATGTTAGTTTAAAATTTATTTTAAAATTTATTAAAAAAAGAATTTTAAAATTTTTTTTAAAAAAAATTATTTTAAAAAAAATTATAAAAATTATTTTAAAAAATTATTTTAAAAGCATTTAAAAAAATTAAAATAAAACAAACAAACCATATATGAAATATGCGACATTATGATGTTAGTTATAAAAAGTCCATAACTCAAAAATAAAGAGAAAAATTGACAATACATTAAAGATAAGAATAAAAAAATAAAGAGAAGAGGCAAAGTGAGGTGGCACATTGAAGGAGATGAAATGGCCCCAATGGCACGTGTAGAAGACGTGGAAAGTATGGACGGTGTGGATTTTTCCATCTTTATATGGGAGGGACGGTGACGAAATGGAATTGGCTAAAGATTCAGTTTAGGTAACTTTTTCATTGCCAACTCTGATCTCTTTATTGTGCCACCATTGGGTGTGGGGTTTACTTGGATGCTTCTCATCACCACTTGCTCAATTGGGTCCCATTCCTATTTTTAATATTTAATATATTTGAATAAATTCAAATCTTAATGGTGAAGTCTAATTTTCCAATATTAACTTCTCTAAATTGATTAATAATAATTTTAATTTCTTCATTAGCATAAACCTACTCCCATTCCTATCTTAGATAAAATCCATAACTTTAATAGCTATATATATTCAAACCAAAAGGCAGTAAAAACCAAGCCTTTTCACATGTTCAATTTTTATCCATTTTTTTCTTACCTGCCTAGCTTAACTTCAATGAAAGTGTTTAATTAGTGCATGTTCAAAAAAGTTGAATTTCTTTCTACTAGAGACGGACTTAAATATTAAAATATAGTTTTTTAATATTAAATAATTATTAAAACCACAACTTTTAAAAAATTAATTAATTAAAAGTAAAATTCCTATTATATATTTACTTTATTCTAAAATTAAAATAAATAGTAAAAAATTAAATATACAATAAAAACACCAAATTTTTAATTTTTATAAAACAAACCAACAATTAACACTTATTACTTAAACCAAATACACTATTCTTCAGTCTTATATTAAGTGTTTAATTTTTAATATTTTATTTTTCTCAAATTATTTATTCATCTAAAATATCAATATAATTTTTCGTTAATATATTTTTTTATGTAAATTGATTTTGTAAAATATAAAGTGGTTGATGTTTGAAAAAATTGCTAAAATATTTGAATGTAAAAATTAAGTTTAGATTCGAAAATTATAAATTTTAATCTTAAATAAAATCAATTCTAAAAACATAATGAGTTCTAAAAAAAAATACTTCTAATTTGAAATGAAAGATAGTCATGAATCATCATACTACTACTTTCTCTTATTTGTTAAAGGAAAAAAAGTATAAACCAAAGTAATCAAAAAAATGATTTACAACCTGTTATTATAGGTACATTGATCTCTTTAATTTCTGTCAACAACATGAGTTGTCTGCTGAATAAGATTCTTCCAAATGCCCATACACATACACGCACTCATTTTCTCTCTTGCACAGTTTATTTCTACTCTATATAAACCTCTCACTCTCCTCATTTCACTCACAACTATCATTCTTTCCCTCATCTTTCCTTCTTGTGCAACAGCAGCTAGTCCAAATGGCCACTGTTGAGGTAATAATTCAAAGATACACTCTTTTCTACATTGAGTAACTCTAATTTATTCTAAGTCTATATTTATAGTTAATATGCATTGCATTAAGTATCATACAAATACAATATTGTATGATAAGTTATAAGTGTTTCATAGTGATCTTGATCTTGCAAATGCACTTACCATTTTCCATTGGATTGATCAAAAGTATCGATCCAATGGATCTCTCTCTTTGTGTGTTTAATTTTCATGATCCAAAGTAACATAAAACATAACACTTGTTGAACATTAATGGTTAATGAAAATGGATCTTTCAGGTTGAAGCACAGCAAGTAGTACCAACAATTGTGACAGAAAATGAAACAGTTGAAGTAACCAAGGTGGACGAAACAACACCCGCCTCCGAGGTTTTAGTCTCAGAACCAGTCACTACGGAACAACCAAAAGAAGAAGCTGCCGTAGAAGCAGCAGTAGAGAAAGAAGCAGAAACTGAAGTACCAGTTGAAGTGGAGACTACAGAAGTAGCAGAAGAAGCCAAGCCAGAGGTAGAGAACCCGACAACCGAAAAAGTTGAAGAAGTGAAAGAGGAAGCAACAACTGAGGAGGCTAAAGAAACTACTGAAACAGAACCAGCAGCAGCACCAGTTGAAGAGAACAAAGCAGCTGAAACTGCAGTGGAAGAAGTCGCTGCAGAAGTCACCACAGAAGCATAGACAATTGTTGTCGACCTTTTTCGCATTGATGAGAACTTTTCTATTTTATTTGTTTGGTTTCTTTTTCCTTTTTTCCATTGATCTTGTTGTGAAGGTAAAGTCTTTGGATATGGCTTTTTAAGGTTTATCATATTATATCTGAAGTTTGGGAATGATGATGGTTCCAACAAGGTTCAACTAGCTTGGTTATTATGTATTTCTCCTGGATTGAATAAATTATATTTATTTTATCTACTTATTTTCCTGAAAGTCTGTCATAATTTTGACACAGGATTTCAGAAACAGGGGAAGAGTGCATCACAAGTTAATCAAAAAACAAGTTTATAGGAGGATATGAAATACAATCACATAATCAAAAAGCAAAATGACACCAAAATAATATAGTTTTAAATAAAGTTGGTGCCATTTTAATGAGAATTTCTAAAATACAACCTCTAAAACACTACTTAATGGTTGAAATTTGAAAATTCACATGGATCCTACAGAAAAAATACTATGGCCTATTTTGCATTCACGGTGGAGCCACGCACCTGGTTGCGTTGTGCCTTAATACGCGAGAAAACTTATGCGCCGTCTGACCAAACACACATAGATGTTCGAAAAAGAGTGTTCAAGAGTGTGTTGCTAAGACTTCACAAACTTGACTGTTGTGGAACACTTGTTGACGAACCAGCAGTTATTAAACAAAATATAACATAGATATCAAAATTTCTTTCCTTCAAATCCTGTATTATTGATAATTTTTATCCATATAAACATTTTGGCTAAGATAAATAAAATTACATCCCTTGACTAACTTCCAAAACAGAACTTTGACAACTTTCTCAAAGTATCCAATTAGAGGAGGACAACAGACGGGATGCTCCTATAGTCTGTACAAAGCTGCATATCAATAATTCTATGTGCAGACAAGTCAAAACGAGTTTCTATCGAGATTGCAGATATTTTCACCAAGTACCAAAACTACTGCCAATATGTTCTTGAGTAATGACTTTGAGACGAGCTTGCATGGCCGGCATTGATGAATAAGCTGGGAAACAGAGCCGGTAAAAGCATGTATGAGATGAAGGAAGGTGATCGCCGGACTCGTGGGACTTGTAAATGTAGAGATGGGTGCCTAAACCACAGAAGCCTTCGACTGGTAAATATTTCACAGATGTCCAAAAGAAAAGGAGAATTTTCCTTTCTTCAGCTGTCATTTTCCCCACTATCTGCCAATTTTTTTTCAAATAGATTGTTAAAATATGTAATGTGAAAAGTGAGCAGCATCTCTTTTCAAATCTTGATATACCAAATTATTTCAATAACATTGCAGAACTACGTATCCGAGGATGCAATAAGAACCCAGCTTAAGAGATAGCATAAAGACTGGGGAAGTTAATATTCACACTTCTCAACAAAAGGTGTAATAATAACCTAGCATTTCCGATAAGTTCTCAAAATATATATATTTAATATATATTTTGTAAGATGCGACAATTCTTCATAAAAATGCTAGATACGTGATGTTTAAATGCGGTGTGGTATCAGAATAAAGGCTCCTAGTGCAAATATTACACCAACAGACTTTTGTAATCCAAGAAAGTATGGCTGCATCACTGAAAACTCTCTTTCAAAAAACCATTATAAATTTATAACCATGAATCAAGATTGAGGCTTTGGTAACAAAAACATGTATATTTTGAATTTATAAATGAACTTAATAGAGATATTTGTAAATGATATGAAGCACATCAAAGATGAACCTATCAGGGCCAGGGGAGGGCAATAATATAAAATAACATAGAAAAGGACTCTTGCATGACTGCTAACCAGGTAATTAAGACGACATTCCAAGAGCGGTGTTCAAAAAAACAATTAATTTGTGGAGATGGGAAACTTTAGATAAGGCAGCGATGCTTCCCAATAAGCAATAAAACTCAAAAGCTTCACAGTTAAAATAGAAACAAAGATGATAGGTCTATGAAGTTAGAGTTCAATAGTAGTTTTTCTTTTGTAATCGAGAAAGCTGGGATAATGAGAGAAATCAGTTGCCTATAAATAAGAAAGGTTCAGAGGTAATATATGCTCATTTGTATGTGAATTGGTTACAGTCCCTTAAAGTTCAAGCGGATCTAGCCTTAATTTGATCCAGATATTTCAGTCAAGAGGTCAAGGCAATACTCAAGATGAGAACTAAGAAGTTGAAAAGTTGAAAAGAAAAGGAAAAAGAACGGGAGGAACTAGGGATATTGGAACTGGATCAAGAACCAGAGATCAGGATGAGACAAAGTCGGAATTTGAAAAGAACGACAACTCAAAAATGGAAGAAAAAAATTATGTCTTGTGATACCCAACATTACCGGAAAATAAAATAGAAAACGGCGGTTGATATTTTATAGGTTTAACTGAGGAAGTTGGAATGAAGCAAAGATTGAAGGAATGTACCAGCAACATCCATAGATAAGAGGATATCGTACCAGCAACATCAATGAATAAGAGGATATCGTACCAGCAATATAGTACAAGCTGATCAACACTGAAAAATAGGAATAAGAAGTTTTCTGAATGTGCTTGAGTGAGTAAAGCACTCAGCAACCTTGATATTTATACACACTATATAATTAATTACATAATATGTTTACAAGGAGAAATGAATAATAATCCAACTCTCTAAATGCATGAATCTAAATATACATGAACCTAAGACTTAAATGCTCACTTTAGTGGAAAACATACAATTTATTTTTCTATTTCCAACACTCCCCCTCAAGCTTGTGAATAAGTATTCTCCATTCCCAGCTTGGATACAATTCGTTCAAAATTAGTGCTACTCAATCCTTTAGTGAGAATATCTGCAAGTTGCCCTTGTGAGGACACATGGGGTGCAAATCAGCACTTTATCAAGCTTCTCCTTAATGAAGTGTCTATCAACTTCAATATACTTAGTTTGATCATGTTGAACTGGATTATGTGCTATACTGATAGTTGACTTATTATCACATTAGAGCTTCATGGGTCCTTCCCATTTGATTTTCAATTCTTCTAAAATAATTTTGAGCCAAAGTAATTCACAAATGCCTTGTGCCATGGCCTCGAAATTCAGCTTCTACACTAGAACGGGCTACTACGTTTTGCTTCTTACTCCTCCAAGTCACAAGATTTCCTCCAAGAAAGGTGCAGTACCCTGTAGTGGATCTTCTATCAACAATTGAACCTGCATAATCTACATCAGCGTAGGCCTCTCCATTTCTTTTGAACAAAATTCCTCTTCCTGGAATTCCCTTAAGATACGGTAGGATTCTATGAAGTGCTTGTAAATGATTTTCTTTAGGACATTGCATGACCTGACTAACCATACTTACAGCATATGCAATATCGGGTCTAGTGTGAGACAAGTAAATTAGTCTCCCAACTAGACGTTGATACATTTCTTTATCTACTGCAACATCTTCTGTATTACTCAGTTTAAGATTTGGATCCATAGGAACGCTTGCAGGTTTACGCGCTGTTTTTCCTGTATCTTTGAGTAAATCTGTAATGTATTTTTGTTGATATAAAAATTATTTTTTGGGAATGTGCCACCTCGATTCCCAAGAAGTACTTCAGCTTTCCAAGAGTTTTTATTTCAAACTCCTTAGCCAAACACTGACTCGAGATTTGTTGCTCCTTCCAATCATCTCCTATCATTATAATGTCATCCACATATACTAACAGAACTGTTACTCCCCCTTGTAGCGAGTGTTTGATGAACAAGGTGTGATCCCCTTGACTTTGCTTGTACCCCAAAGATGTCATAACCTTAGTGAATCTTGCAAACCATGCTCGAGGTGATTGTTTTAGACCATATAACGCCTTTTTCAACCTGTAAACTGGATTGTCAGACACATTTTTTTCATACCCTAGTGGTACCTGCATATAAATCTCCTCTTCGAGTTCCCCGTGTAAGAAGGCATTCTTCACATCAAATTGTTGTAAATCCCAACCCTAATTGGCAGCAAGTGACAAAATTACTCTCATTGTATTCATCTTCGCAACCGGAGCAAATGTCTCTGAATAGTCAATTCCATAGGTTTGTGTAAACCCTTTGGCAACCAACCTGACTTTATATCTTTCGATTGATACATCAGCCCTATATTTTAATGTGTCCACCCATTTGCATCCAACCGGCCTCTTTCCTTCCGGTAAAGTCACTAACTCCCAAGTTCCATTCTTCTTCAATGGGTCCATTTCGATATTCATGGCTTGCTTCCATTTTTCATCAGACATTGCCTCATAAACATTAATAGGTATGGAAGTAGCATTTAGGTTTATAAGAAAGGCTCTATGGGTAGGTGAGAATTTTTGAAAAGAAAGATAGTTTGAAAGGGATATAAAAGTTGTTTGGTGCATTTTCTGGTACCTTTTCTAATATCAATCGGAAGGTATAGGTCATCATCTATTATTCAGGCCATCATTTTATCTTGTAATTCAGAAGAATTAATTACCTCATTCGAAGGAGTCGAGTCAGACTCTTGAAATTGTGTCGATTCAGGAATGGCCTTTGACTTTCACATGTAAACCAGATTCTTTCCATATCTTACATCCACTTCAAGTCCAAGTTCAGCAAGTGGTGTATTTGATTGATTTGACTCAACTCCTAGTTCTTCAGTCTCATATGGGTCTGGTACAAGTGTGTTTAACTCAGGACCAGAAAGATTGGGTCTATTTGACTCTAAACTGGAAGAATTAGGTCGGTTTGACTCGAGACCAAAGAGATTGAGTGTATTTTAACTCATGACTAGAATGACCAGGTGTATTTTACTTAATACTAGACAGATTGAGTGTATTTGACTCAAGACCAGAAAGGTCGAGATTTTCAAGCTTATCTTCCTAAAAAATTCTCCCCCCGAAGATAGGTTGAGTGAAGTACGGTTCCTCCTCGTGAAAGGTAACATCCCGCGACACGAAAAACTTTTAGATGAAGGATGGAAACACTTATATCCCTTTTTTGAGTAGAGGAATAGCTGACAAAAACACATCTTAGGGCTCTAGGGTCGAGTTTTTTCTGTCTTGACTATGCACATGGACAAATGAGACACACTCAAAGATTCTAGGTTTAAGATTACTACTTACTGACAAATTTGGATAGAAGAAAGAAAGAACATCCATAGGATTCTTGAACCCTAATACTCTAGAGGGAAATCGATTAATAAGATATGTACTAGTGAGAACAGCCTCCCCCCATAAATATTTTGGAACATTTTGATGAAACAATAGTGCTCGAGTTTGGTCTAATAGATGCTAGGGGTGGAAAACGGACATGTCCGTCCCATTTAGGTCCGCCCCGCAAAAACTCGCAAAAAAACGGGACAGGGCGGAGCGGACATAGTTGAAGATGTGGGCCTAAAACCTAGGCCCGTCCCGCAAAAAAGTGAGTGCGGGGCGGGGAAAGCTCGCGGGCACTGCACCTTTTAGGCCTACAAAAGCAAAATTTTATGCTAATAATCATTTCCGCAAAAGCCCGCGAAGAATACGGGACGGAGTGGGGCGGTCACATTAGAGGGTGAGGGCCTAAATTTTTGGCCCGCCCCGCAATAAAGTGTGGGTAAAACGGGCATGCCCAACGAGCTAGACCCGTTTTGCCACCCGTAATAGATGTCCATTTTTCTTTCTGCAATTCCATTTTGTTGTGGTGTTTTAACACAAGAAGACTCATGGACAATTCCCTCTTTTTGACAAAAAGAAGTAAGAACATGATTGAAGTACTCTTTTCCATTATCAGACCTAAGCCTTTTGATGTTTACTCCAAATTGATTTTTAATCATGTAGAAAAACTTTGGGAAAACAGTACTGACATCAGACTTGTTTTGGAGTAAAAACACCCAAGGAACCAGGGTACAATCGTCTAGAAAAAAGTAACAAACCACCTAGCACCCGTTACATTTGGATTGGTTGAGGGACCCCAAACATCTGAATGAATAAGATAGAATGGGGAAAGGCTTCTTTAGTTGTTTAATGGAAAAGGTGAACGTTTGTGTTTAGCAAACTCGCACACATCACAATGAAGATTTTCAATATGTACCTTATTGAATAAAGATGGAAACAAAACTTTAATGACTACAAAAGAAGGATGTCCTAATCGACAATGAAAAAGAAATATTTTTTTCATTTTTAGAGTACTAACTCTGACATAAATTAGTGGGACAAGTGACCTTTTGTACACTGATCTGATTCATCAAGATAGTAAAGGCCATTCTTTTCTCTAGCACGTCCAATCGTCTTTCCCGACTCCTTATCCTAAAATATACAACAATCATTATGAAAAGTAACACTACAGGATAAATCATTTGTAAGTTTTTGTATGGAGACAAGGTTCATGGATAATTTTGGAACATGGAGGACCCTTCTTAGGGTTATAGAATGATTTATTTGGATATCTCCGATGCCCACTACAGTTACAAGAGTACCATCTGCAGTAGAAATCTTTTTATTACTGGGACAAGGGGAATATGTGGAGAATTGTTTCGAAGAGGGTGTCATGTGGTCTATGGCTTCTGAATCTAATATCCAAAATAAACAAGGTGTTTCTAAGACATGAAATCCAAATGAGTGGAAACTTACCAGAATACGCTACAGTGCAATTACCTGATAACTTTTCCATACTATTGATCATGAAGGAGCAACAACCAAATATTTATGAATAAGATACCAAAGAAAACAAGATTCGATGAAGAAATCAACCCAGAAAATATAGGGACAATGGCTGGAACTGTGCAGGCAGCGGCTGAAAAATATGCAGAGCGATACCGGCGGCTGCAGAAAACTGTACGGGCAACTACTAAAAAGCATAAATAGCGTTTAATTGGAAAAACTTGACAGCAAGTGTTGCCCAGTCAAGATTGAAGTGTTCTAACAGCATAAAAATGTCCAGTCAGATTTCAAAAGAATGATTAGCAGAAGTAGAGTCCCCTAGATTAGGAGCTCTGATGCCATGTGAAAAATAGGAATAAGAAATTTTCTGAATGTGCTTGAGTGAGTAAAGCACTCAGCAACCTTGATATTTATACACACTATATAATTAATTACATATTATGTTTACAAGGAGAAATAAATAATAGTCTAACTCCCTAAATGCATGAATTTAAATATACATGAACCTAAGACTTAAATGCTCATTTTAGTGGGAAACATACAATTTATTTTTCTATTTCCAACAAACACACATCCATTTGCTAAACTACCATATTCTTATTCAGTCCCGGGAGATGATTGATTTAGCAACAACTGCAACGTTTAGGGTCTTAGTCCCACGGGTTCGCTTCCCCTGCAGGACCATAGTACTAGTCAGATGAAGGAGGGGAGAGGGTCATCACACAAAGGGAGCGTGCAGCAAAGATGAGTTATTTATGAGGGTGCAGCAGATGCATTGATGGCTGTTGTGTGGGTGATGGCACCGATACCGCGATAAGGGCGTGAATGGCATTGAAGCATTTTGGCCAATACTTTTACTCAACGGACCACCAAGCCCAAGATAATGAAAAAAGGAGTGAGCTACGGCGAAAAGAGGTGTGTCTGATTTATTGGCTAATATGAAGCATCTTCCAACAGGCCACTGCATATAGTGATACAGTAACTTCATAGGACAGTGTAAAAGGTCATTCAAGGACTGTGGCCGGGGACAGGTCTGTAGGGACCTGAAAGCGGTAATCCAGCTAAGCCTTCAACACACAGGAGCCTCTAGACTCAAGCCTAGAAAAAAATGACTCTTGGAGGCAGGAGTTTCAGTTGTAAGTGAAATTGGATTTTTGAGAGAAACAAGTGACAAGTCATTTGGTTGTCCTTGATTTGTCAATTTTCTTCATCTTTAAGGACGGGGTTAAACTTTAAAGTTTGTTAAGGGATTTGAATTTGGTTATTTTGTTGGAGTTAAATATAGTTTGTTTGTAACGGATGGGGGTCGGAATAACTGGAGAAACGAGTTGCTTGTAAATAAGAGTGGTTAAGGCTCGGAGGGAGGCATATCGTTATTTGAGGGAATTGAGGCCTAAGGGCAAGGAGGTTACAGACTCTTAAAATTCTGCAGAGTTGTAATCAAGGAGATTTTCCCTATTTTCTTGTGGTAAAATACCAGTTTGTATCAAAAGCTTGTCTTAGAGGCTCGACACAATGGGTACTTATTGCTCACTAGTCACTACAGACAAAAAAGCATAGAAGATACAAGATAACTGGAATAAACATCACATTATATTTTTTTTAAATAGCACCAGTACATACCTCCCAAAACCAAGAGATCTGAATATCTGTCTCTTTATAGCCGTTATATTCAGTGTGTTTTTTCCAATCTTCGACGGAAATGGCATCTTTGCATCCACGGAGCATCCAATCAAGATCTTCAGGATCTAAAGCTTGAAAAAAGGACGTCTGGAGGTTTGTACTTGAAAGAATATCAGCAAAACCTTTGGCAAAGTGTGACACCTGCTTAGATATGGATGTTACAAAGCGATTCTGTATAAGAAGATAAATATACTTTGCCCTGTTCTTACTAGTAACTACAACATCCTTTCCACCGGGACAGAGCTCGATCGCTTTCCTGTGTCCTAATTCATCCACTTCTCTTACAAACGTCAGTCCTAACGCATCTGAATCAACTAGATCAGAATCCATGTCTAATATCTGCTTGCAGCTTCTATAAAGCTCAGGATCTGCATCCTTTATATCTTCAACAGAAATAGACTTTCCAGCCAATTGCAAGAAAAACACCCGATCAAAAACAATACCTACTTGCACCCCATGCATCAAAGCTAATGCAATAACTCGACCACAGAAGCTGAAGTACTCAAGATGCAGAGGATGCACCTTGGAAGCTTTAAACAAGTAGACAAAGGATGAGTTAAACTTGGTTATCTGGAAATAGTTTAAGAACTGTAACAGAAACAAGATATACAACAATGTAGAAGAAAATTATCAACTCAGGCCTCAAGCAACAAGCAATCCTATCCCCTAAAAACAACAACTTGGAAATCGTGTTTAGTGGAAAAAAGCGCATGTGGTCGGACATGTTACATAATATGAAGTGGAATAGGTCAGTTTGAATACGTGAATGTCAAATACATGAGTGTTGAGTAATAGACACATAAGAAGCTAATGCATCATTCTTCAAAAAGTAACTAAAGGAATCGTAGTAAGATGCATTAGATCCTCAAGCATGACATAGAACAGTCCCAAAATGGTTGAATCAGATAACCTTTAGTAAATTTAAAATGAATACAGAAAAATATAAATATTCATGCATGTAAAGAGGTTTTATATTGTGGAAGCATCCGTGATGGATGCCTACTTTGCCTAATTTGAAGTTGGCCTTAAACTGATATAGTCTTCAACACTGCCAAAAAATTGAAGCATTGTGGAACTACTCTATAAGCCAGTGTATATCCATCCTCCAAGGATTTCATCCAATTGGAGCGCATTTCATGTGAGAAAAAACTATTGAGTAATGATAGGCAAACAAATAATCTGATTTCTACTAATGCATGGCAAGTAGCAGAGGTGGAAAAGTACATTCAGAATTGTTGATGAACTTACCAGAATTAGGGAGAAATCTCGTTTTATCATTTGGGCAGGAAACAAAAAGAGCATTTTCCTGATTGAATATTGCTTGACAAACCAAAAGGAACCACTCCCTCAGCACACCGGGGCCAGTGGCTTCCTCGTTTTTGAATTCCATAAAGAGGCCAGCACGCAGTGACTCGGGCTCAGCTCGTGCGACATATTCAAAAGATTCAGTTAACAACTGAGACCTGTCAATGAGCATCTCATGTAGCTCTTCATAGTCTTCCTTAACCTCCGGGAACATCATCATGGCCAAATGCCTTCTAGCCTCGAAATTGGTGACATTCTTGTGCTCGAGAATCCACTGATGCTCATCAGTCCTCTTTGCATATTTAACAAGCAGCTGACACAGCACAGTCTTTTGACGTGTCAAAACGCCCTGGAGCTTTTCTGAAGCACCATCATAAAGCTTAGAAATCTTATGCAACTCCTTCAAAACGGAAAGATAGAGAGAGCATGCAGGATGAAAATAATTCTCCTCATGCGACATTTCCTTGTTAACGAATCTCTTATCCATTTTTTGAAGGCAAATTTCAATTTTGCACAACAACTGATCGTACAACAGTAAAAGGTATTCAATCTCTTTAAGGACCAAGCTGTTCCTTCCGAGCTTCTGGTAAGGTACAAAACCACCACGCTGAGTCTTTTGCTGCTTGATTCCATTCCTCACAGGGACTAAAAAGGCAGCAAAATCACTGACATTGCTCGTCACAGGACAAGCAAAGGAAGGTGTATCAATGCTCATATCCAAATCCATCAACAAGCTATCAGCAAGTTCGCGAACAAACGGGAATAAATCTTGAACTAACACCAAACCTTTGTCATTCTGATCCTCAGAAGCAGCAAGTGAAATTTCAGAACGTTCCAAGAAAAACCCCAAACAATTCCGACAATAGAGATACAAAGGATCATGAGTCCCAACTCTCCTAAGCAATTTACAAAACTCCAACGCCACACGCGCAGCCTGAGTGTGAAATGTCTCAGACAATGTAGTCCTACAACAATTCAAAAAATGCCTAATACAAGTATCAGAGCACGACTTATTACCTGTAAAAGGCGAAACATAGAGAGTAACCAGAATCGAAATAGCCGAACAATTCATGAAAATCTGGAAATACTTAGTAGCAGAATCAGCATCAAGTTTAGGTTTTGGTTCCAAAGCCAAATTAATATAAGTAGTGAGTAAATTCTTCACAGTTTTAACAGGATCCTGAACATTCCCACCAACACAAAGATCATAAACAATAGTAACCATATCATTCACAACTTGCCACGCTTGAGGATGTTCAGTACTCCGCATTCGACCAACTAGTTCAAGAATCACATCCTTCTGTATCCCACACTCCGCCAGAGTTTGTTCCCACTGAAGCTGTTTACCTTTGAAAATCAACCTCTGCTCAAAAACAGGAATTCTCTTCATTTCATATATCCGTTCATGAATCGATTGCACAGTGTTTTCCGGAAAAGCGTTCATCACAACACTATAACCTTCTGAAACCATGCGAATGAAAAAACAAACAGGTCCTCTATTCTTCAATAAATTGTTGTTTCCGTCGCCACCGCCAGCACGGCAACCTCCACCGCTCCATGGCTTAACTGTTGTTTCTGTGGTCTCCGCTTTTCTCATTCTCACATACACTAAGTCATCATCTAACACGCTTTCGTCGTCATCGTCTAATTTCCGCTTCGTCGATGAACGTTGCTGTTGTTGTGGTTGAATAGGGGTTTCGATCGGAGTCATTTGGTTTAAGTTAAGAAAAACATTATCATATCACCGTCGTTGTTGGTGGTGTCGCCGCCGCTCCCTCCTCCTTCCACCACCACCGTTGATTGATTTTTTTTTTACAATCTTGTAATAATAATAATAATAATAAAAATAAAAATAAATTATAACTGTTATCAGAGCTAGCTGAGAGTGAAAGTGAAAGAAGAAGAATCGGAATTGGGAGCGACGCGATCTTAGAATTGAAATGATGAACTCACATAGTGTGTGTTTTTTTGTGTGAAGCGTTTTTTTTTGTGGGTTTTGGTTTTGATTTTGCTTTTGATTTTGGTTTTTATTACCGTCCTCTCTTCCTTTTCTGATTCTCTGATTCTTTCTTGCAACGTTATTTATTTTATTGTAATAATTTAATTTAATTGACCTTCGAAACGGTGTCGTCTCCTATTGAGCAAACTCGCCGTGTTTATCTATTTTGTATTTTCTTACAATTTACGTGTGAAGTGAGTGGGTCCCGTGTGCCTTTTCTGAACACCTATTTTAGTTTTTACAAATTTCCAAGAAAAGGTTCTTTTTGTTGACTAAAGATAAAAAAAAAACAGATTTAAATGGTGCCGTGGGTGTGTGCCATGATAAGTCTAAATTTTTTTTTTTTTAAATTTTAACTTTTTGAAAAAGTCATTTTAGGAAAGGAGTTACTTACCATTTTCCTTTCTTTTTCGTTTGAAGGTTCCTATTGATTAAAATAAATTATTTTAATTATAATGTTTTTTAAAAATAAAATATATTAATTTTTTACCAGATAATATTAATTTATGTAATTGATAGTAATATCTATATCTATATGAATGAATATTTTTGTTCTTTTTAATGTATTTTAAATTAATGGTTATGTAAAATTAGTGTAAATTTTATTTAAAAATTTTTTTTTGAAAAAAGAAAACTTATATTAAACAAAAAAAAACAAGAAAGATATAAGGCAGTCGTTCGGATCCAGTTAACTAAACAAACAAAACAAAAAAGTGATCAATAAAGCATCAATTTAGTTATATGGGCTTTGAGATCCTTACAAAACTAACCCCTATAGACAATATTGCTAATGATATATATCACAACCTGATTTTTATCTATGTTTTTACCAAAATAAGTTCTATTACGGTACATCCAACATTCATAGAGAGTTTATGATGCAGCAAGCTTGAGTAATTTCGCTTTCCACCATTTGCCTTTATTAATACTGAGGATTCACTTCAACTCATCTTCTCACATTGTAGGAGTATGCAAAAATTGAATCCAAGTAAGCACGTCTTGCCAAATATCTTTTAACTACACACAATCAAAAAATAAGTGATTGATAGTCTCAACTTTTTTACAGAAAACACAGTCACTATTATCAACCATGATGTAATACGGTGGGAGAACTGACTTGGATTTTGTATTTTATTGTAAATATTACGGATAGCAAGAGCCGCCACCGACTTTTCTTTTATCCTATAAAAGAAAGGGTGAAAAGAACAGGAAAGACCTTTGAGAATTTTCTTGAGTTCAGGGGATAGGTTATGAAAAGGGAAGGTGTTAGCACCATTTTCATCTATAGTTATCTACGGGCTCTTAATTACTAGCTCACTTTGAAAATACTCTGTGTGTAGGTTTACAAATATTTTGAAAATGCCTAAGTACGACAATTTTATAATAATTCTCGTATCGTTGAGAATGTATATAAAATGTTTGTTTTTGAAAATATTTTTTGAAAGAGAGTGTTGTTTGTGAAAAGTGTTTTAAAGATGCCAATGTAAGGCAGTTTTGCTTTATAATAACCCTTGTATCAGTCCTCAAGAGTGTTTATAAAGCGTTTAAAAGTAATTATTTTGAAAGTGTAAAGTGTGGAAATTGTTTTAGTTTGTGAGCAAGCGATCTATCTACCCAATGGTCTTTGTTATTTCCCTCCTCCTTTAGATAGTGCTATCCTACTATTAGTTAATAGAAATCCATATCATTGGATGTGAGGGACAGGCGTGAGTCATCATACAGGCATATAAGGCAACTTGTAAGACGTTTTAGCAATTGTTGTAAGGGACTAAGATCGTTCACCGAAGGCAACATTGAAGGGTCATCGAGGGGCTACGATCTTTTAATTGAGGGTCTTTACTAAAGCATCTTACGTTCGAGGGACATGACTGTTTAAATCTGAGACAACAAATGAGATTATCCTAGAGGTGCGTGTGTGCGAAGTGTTTTGATTTCAAGTATTTATCTTTGAGATTAGGTTATCTAACAGTTGATTTTAATCTTGTCATACAAACCCTAATTACTAACAGTAATAAGAAAAGTAGTAAATTATGGAAATTAAATTCCCTACGCTATTACAATGCTTCAGGGATGGGGGTACAAGTTTATGAATGGGGGAAGAAAGCAATAAATCCTAATTATCTATTAAAAACTTTTGATAGTTACATAATTGTTTTAATGCGAAAAATAAACAAATATGCGATGATGGAAAGGGGAAAGATGTAAAAAAGTTGTAAGTATTTTAAGAAAATATTTTGTTGTTTCTTTGTTTAGAAAATATTTTGTTGTTTCTTTGTTTAGAATATATTTGCAATGTGAGATAAAAAATTAGACCTAATTCTAATTTAATTTACAAATTAATTAAATAAAATAAGGTGTGATTAAATTAATTTATCAACAAATTAAATTAATTAATTAAAATCTAAAGAATTCTAAGTATTTAGAAAATGTTTTTGTGTTTTTTGTTTAGAAAATTAAATGAAGTATAAACCTAGTTTTTTTAATAAAATCAAGATGATTAAAATAAATTAATTTTTATTTGTAAAAAGTTAAATTAACTAATTGAGAACCTAAATCTAATTTTTTTAATCATTTTTATGATTTTTTATGATTTTAAATAAAATTATTTTAGAAAAGAAAGTTAATTAAAAATAAAAAGAAATAAAATGAGCCTACAGTATAAGAAATTAAGGGGATGAGAAGTAGAAAAAATAACTCAGGTCCAACTCAAAGAGTTTTTGTTTGAAACAGAAAATAAAATAATAATAAAAAATATTAGAATGGGCCTGGCGCTGTAAAAGAAAAATGGGGGGTGAGAAACCAAAAATTTTCAGGCCCAACAACAAGGAAGTCTAGCGCCTGTTTGTAATCCAGTGAGGATGGTTCTTTGGGATGTACCATAGGCTTGTGTTTGGGTGCATTGAATCTGATTGCATGATGATCTGATGGTGTTGATGTGAGGCTCGTGATAAGCGCGCTAGGCTTGTTTGTATTGAATCTGCAAGAAACAAATGTGAAAAAGAAAAAATGTCTTACGCCCGGCTCGAACCCGTGACTAGGCATAGGTATGACTTAAATATGCGCGCACTGCCACTAGGGTGGCTGTTACATCCGGTTGTAAAACAACAATCATTAAATATAAAATAAATAAGTTTTCAAAAATGAACTTCATCTTCTTCCTCGCGCGCGTTTACAACAACAACAACAATATTTTTAATTTTTCAAACTCTTCCACTTCTCAACCTTTTTGAAAAGTTCCAAAATCAAACTTGTTCTAAATTTCACCACGAATTCAACCATGTAAATTATAAAAGCTATAGGTTAAAGATGAGCATGAATTTTGCTTGGTACCAAACTGAAGCCTAATATTTCAGAAATTTTAATTCCAAAATTCTCATCACACAGTCAACATAAATGAGAACTAAGGGCATGGTTAGCTTCAGGGCATTGATATCTACATTTTTACTTTAGAAAATAAATGCAAATGATGCTTGTACAGCGATTTCAAAGTTTAGAAAACTTACCTCTGAAGTGAGAATCGAGTTTGAAGTTAGAGCACTTTTGGAGGTGTTAGGATGATCTGGATAGCTTCACTGAACTCCCAGGAAGCTTTTGCAATGCCTACCTTGGATTGAGAGTGTCTCAATTCTTCTAAACAAGTCAAGTTGCAGAGGTGTAAAGTGAGGTTTGGACAATGATGATGGAGGTGTTACAGTGATGAAACAGGGGTATGAAGGCTTTTATATGATGTATAGATGATGTTTGAATGATAAAAAAAGGAAAATGCACAAGTGGATTTGAAGTTGGGTGTTGGAAACTTCAAATGCGAAACAATGAAGTTTTCTTGGTGATTCTGAGTTTGAGAGTGTTTGAGGGCTTGTGAACTCGTGTGTTAGCTTGCAAATGATCTCTCTATTTATAGAGAAAAGGTTTAAGGGCTTGAAGTAACCAGAATTTCAAGACAGCGTGTTATGGTTTTGAAGTAACTTGCAAAGTCATGGTTCCAAGATAATGTAGGGTGGTTGATAGGTTGTAGATGGTTGCTTTTAAGTGCTGAGATGTTTTAAAGTCAGAAGCAACAATGTATGGGCTCAAGGAGAGTTTACATTGTGTATAAAGTCACTTTATCAAAATGGCAATGTGACTTTTCTCCCTTAAATGGCAAGTAAGCTTGGACAAAGCTTTAATCACTTGAATCATAGCTTAAAAGCTTGTGTAATCTTCTGATTATATCAAGATTTGGAGGTTAAAGGACTGCAAAGATGAGATTACAAGGCATGGCTATGAGATTTGGTCATTAGGTTTTCACAAGGATGACTTATATTTCAAGAATGGATGCCCAACTTCATGTCTTCGAAACTTCTAGCTCAAGCATGATATCTTTGTGTTCTTTGACATTTTAGACAGCTTGAAACATTATCTTCAACTTTCATGTTGACCATTTTGGCTAAATCAATTGGGATCTTGGTGAAAAATGGCCATGAAGTTGGGACAAAAAACTGATCAAAACTTCTAAAAAAATTTCTAAGTGTTGGATAAAAAACATCTTAACTTCATGGGCTTATATCTCTTAAATTAAGAACTTTTTTAGGATCATCCCACATTAACAAAGTTGTAGGATTCATCAACCCCTGCAACTTTCATGTTGAAAGTTTTCCTTGAATCAACTTGCATCTTTAGGAAACTTGCTTATGAAGTTAGGGTTTTTGTTAAGAACAAAAACACTTAGAATTTTTCTAAGTGTTAGAAAAAATTTCCAAATTTGACTTTTGTTGAATTTTTGATTTCTTGATGATCAAGTTTGATAGTTTTGAATATCTTAATGATTCTTGACTTTTGAATTCCAATGTTGACCAAAAAGTCAAAGTTTTGACTTTTGAGTGATTGTTGACTTTTCATCAGTTGATTCAAATCTTCAACTATCAATCACTTGCATCTTTGGAAATGTTTTGAGCCATTTAATTAGGTCAAGACGTTGTATTTGAGTCCTTGAGATCATGCTTCAATCCATTAGTTCATGCACTAGGCCAAAAGTCAATGATCAGTCATCTTCAGTAAAAACCCTAATTTTGGAAATTTTTGCCCTTTGATGATTTAAGGGTTTTCCTTGAGGAATCATGATCAAACCTTTATCAAATGATCAA